AAACGTATCTGATACCTTAACGATTGTCCAACTACAAACATTTCATTGTCCTCTATTACTAATACACAACAAATACACACAAATATCATAGACGCATGCTATCCACAATGAACTCTTATTACAAAAAGATTCCTTATCCTCTATTTTCTTACTAAAAATTTCTAAAAATATTTCACTTGAAATATAATATTTGATTTTCTGTTACAATTACTTGAGATTATATAAGTGGTAGTATCGTATTTTTAATCCACAATCTTGTAAGTGTAAATTTGTTTATATACATGATATTTGATTGAAATATTATTCTTAAACAGTGTGTTTAATATATAGAAAAGAACTTTTTAAATAATATTTTAAAAATGGAAAATATTCCATGCATGTAATAATTGTTAGTATTGTATTTAAGTATTTAATTTATGATAACGAGCTTTGTGATGCTTCAAAAGTTTGCAGGTATCATTTTATCAATAATTTATGATATATAAGTGTCACTGTTTTAAAAATAATATATACATATATATATATATATATATAAATTATATATTATTAGAAGGGCCTCTTGGTCCTGTATAGAGACGGAGGTTAGCTACGATAAAATTGTATCAGCATTCACGGACAGCCGACTTGAAATTAGCCCTCCTGTTCGGGGGTTGGGCATAAGTCTGATTACCCCTTTCCGTAAAACGACTTTTATCACGAAACAATGAAAAACGCCATGGATTCTACTAGGGTAAAATTTTCCGGAGGTAAACTAGTCCCCTGATCGGATCTCCGGGTTGGGACTACCTTGAAGAATTCGTGTCAGATAAATTCACAAAAATATTAGAAGGGATCTGAAAGAAATAGGATACAAAGACCGCGAATGGAAGTATTGCGCTCAGGGACGGGAACAATGTTGGGATTTGGTATTTGCGGCGATGAACTTTCGAGTTCCTAACGCCAATTAATAATAATAATAATAATAATAATGATATATAATATTTGAGTACAGCATAAATAAAAAATTTGTCTATCGGATTAGAACAAGATCAAATCTCATTTCAACAAAATTGCATTTATGGAAGTGATTATTCCATTATACTGTTTAAAAGAAATGAAGTTAAAAGTTATCGTTTTCTTGGAGAACTCTTTTGTTAATACTAAAATCTTTTTTTGATTTACAAGTGGTAAAGTCTTGCAACTAACAACAAAGAATACAATTTTTATTTACTATGGTTCATTTTTCTTGTTATAAAGTCTTAATTTTCAACAATATACGGTAAAAACTTATTTAAGTAGGTAATTTATCAAGGAAATAAAGTTTTTTAATGATAATTCCAGGTAAGATGAAATACACACCAATAATCTTAAAACATATACGTATGTTTAGCCAAACAACTATCATGATAATCACATATGATTAGATTTTGAATTAAATGTTCAACTCTTGTGGGAATATTTAAAGTGCAGTTAATTTATGATTTACATAATAGGAAAAAAAAGTACTTATAGAAGTTAATATCAAATAAAATTTTAACTAACATAGAAGAATTAAAATATTCATATTCGTACTTTTATCATATCGTTATTATTATACTGTATCTTTTTTATATATATCTAATGTTTATTTAATTATATTTTATAAGAATTAAATCATACAGAATGTATTATTGTTAATTCAATTTAAATGTTCTAATCGAAAGACAAGGAATCTATGAAAACACCTTTAATTTATTGCATATTTTAACAAACGCGTAAAAAAAAATTAATAACTTTATCTTATTGTATGATAATTTAGATGATTCCAAATGTTTTTGTTTAGTATTTAATATTCTAACAATACAATAATTATAAAAAAATGATAATTTTTCTTTTCATTTTATTCGTTGAAGTAAACGAAGCCTTTTTCGTAATCTTTGTGTAATATATAAGTTTTGAATAAAGTAATTTTATAAATAAAATTTGTTGAATTTATGAATAATTAATAATAATAACTGATATAAAGGATAACAGAATTGTTAATTATTCTACGATATTTGAATTTGTATACAATTAAACATTGTAGGGCAAACTGCAGTCTACAAAATCTACAAAATTTGCACTCCATTGTATTTAAAGTTTTCTTGTAATTAAATATTTTTTATTTGTTTTCTGAGTAATCAACTACAATACCAAGTCAATTTATATCAATAAAAGATAACAAAGACCGTGCTATACCAATTTGATATGTAACTTATGTTATGTTACAAATTTTACACGATTTTTAAAAAAAATTCGAAAAAAATACATTTCGAAAAAAATGTTCATAATGAAAAAAACATAAACGATAAAATTTTAAGTTTAGTATTTATTATTTGAGTGAAGATAAACTTGAAAAGGTGGTTAAAGTTTACAGTATTATTAGATTTTACAATCATGATTTATGTACGATCCGAAATGATCGTACGGCAAGTAACTGTATTCGAAATGCGCGCCACCGATTCTATCGATTACGATTCTAGATCGATACTCGTTACGAGTATCGAACAAATACAAGCGACTATCGAAGCGCTAATGATAGCCACCCCCACCTCTCGCGTCCCCATCTCACACCACACGCGCACGCTCCCTGTTGGACAAATTCAAGGGGATACTCTTCCTATTCTTCCACTAGACGCCACTGAATATATACCTAAGTCGAGACAAGAGAAGGAAAGGAGTTTAAGACGATACGAGATGTGAGAGGGAACTTAAGCGAAGCGGTCGAGAGGTGAGATCTTTCCATTGTATACATTTTACGTTAACGATAATTTCCCGCGTGGCAACGCAACGTGGGTGATCCTCACTATTATAATCTAATAACATCCAGGGGTTTATGTGCTGCAAGGCTTTCCCCTGACGAGCCAATAAAGCATTGCATAAAGAGTTGTGCAATTAATTTATTTACACTATATGAATTACTTGTATATATAAATTTTGTTGTATAGTCATAGATCATAGTCTGCAGTTGCTTACCAAATGGAAGACAAACTAAAAGCTCCTGTATTGACGAGAAGAATTAGAAAAAAAACGAGATTTCGTAGATCCTGGTATTTAATGAAAAAACTTATTATAAGATATATAAAATCAACGCCTAGATTGCAAATTATTTTCACTAACGATAAACAAGTTGAAAATTTTTCAGATGGTAAAGTCTATATTAATTGTAAACCGTTTAGAGAATTTTGATATCTAATATATATCATTATTTTTTCAGAATGTCACTGTAATACATTGCCATCTACATACTATTTATTACAGATTGGAAGTTATTTTTCGTTTGGTAAATTCAAACGGAAAAATATTTTTATGAGTCTTGTTTTTCCTGAAGAATCTAATTTAAATATAGAAACCTTTACCTTTAAACAAATAAGCGGTAATAAAGGATTGTTTTGCGAAGAGATACGCTTTAATTGTGGTCATAAGTTAAGACGTGTTTTGTTTCTTAAAACTAAATTAAAACCTTATTTTAGAGAAAATGATCCTATGCAAAAATGTATAATTTTATTCGTCAGAGATTATAGTGTTTTTTCTATGTTGGAACTTTTAAAAACAATACGTAACTGGTAATATATTGAATGTTTAAAATTCTTATCTATAGACGCTGAAAAATTTTTTTTTAGAATAATTGTAATTTTTCTTTTTACGTAGGTATCCAGAAAGTAACATTCCTATCTGGGGAGGTTTAATGGATAGGCTCAATGTCTGCCAACGTTGTTTTAATAAAACTCATTGTACATCTGCAGCAGAGATGGTACTTATGTTTATAAGTAGTCCGGATATGAAAGTTTGGAATGTAACTTTAGATAAAACATGCAATAGTATGATAACTATTAGGCAGAAATTAACAACGTTTAAAGAAAAAGTAGAGTTGAAGTTATATTCCATAGCTTTAATGTACTTTTCTTCGAGACATATTGATAAACTCGATACGATCCAAATCAAAGCATTCCAAGAAATATTTCCAAATATAATTTTATATCCAATTTACGGTGATGCTTCGATTGGAGGAGAAACTTGGGTAGGTTAGTAATATGTCAACAGAAAAGAATAACATGATATTTACAATACTGCGAAAAATCTTAATTTCAAATGACTATTTCAGAAATAATAAGCACAACTTTTATGGAGGGTCAAAATACAACTTTCATGATACTTACATATAATTAGTTATTTCTGAAGTGAAAGCATTTTGGTTGAATTAAAACATAACGTGCATTTAAATGACGAATTCACCGAAAAGGAAAATGTATATGTACTTTTATGTATAATAACCAAGTAATATTTTAGTACCTAGGTTGTAAAAATCATTATCATTATTATATTTCTAATTGACAGTATTATATTTATAATTGTATTAATTTTATATTTATTTCTCTAATGTTTAATCATTCAAATTTGTTTCGCAGTTAGGTTCTTAGAATGCATTATTTATATCTCAAATAATTTTTTATGATAATGTTAGTCGTTAGATAATCGCAGGGAACTGAATGACTTAATTATATATAATATTAAAATGAACTGTAAAAAAAACCTAATATATTTTATATTTGGACATTGTAAAGTTGTATGAAAATATTTGTTTAACAGTTATTCAATAAAAAATAATTTTTCGTACCAGTATAATGTGGTTTTAATTTAAGTAAAATTTCTTATTAATTGTTATCAGTTTTAATTACCTTTTTCTTATAAGTAAAATTGTCGGAAAGAAAAACTGCAATATGTAACTTCAAAACTATACAAAT